TCTGGGAGTTGAAGTCCACTCATCTTAAAGTGGCCAAGTTTGGACAACACTGAATTACACCCAAAGGGATTGCCTTCAGTGAAGGGGGTGGGGGAAGAAGCTCTTGACTCCTGGTATACTGGGTCAAATCGGTCACCTAATTCTGCACCCTGCTAGCCCCTCACCAAATTCTTTAGGGGACTCTTTGTGCTATTATTGTCCAAAAATATTTATGACTTACAGATGCACGCAAAAGTTTAGTCACCCTTTGTCAAATTGTGTATTTCATTCCATCTGTAAGGGAAGAGAAGCTGATACAACTTCCACATCCTTCTGAAAATTTGAAAGCATGCTTGCTAATCATGTGCAGTTGTTTATGGATTAAGAATAAGGAAACAGTGGATATGGCAAGTGTATAAGTCTGGGCATCTTTTCAGTATTTTGTTACCCTCCTTTCAGAAATAACTTCCAAACATTTCCTTTACCTAGCTAAATCTTTCTATTTTTGCTTTTAGAATTTTCCCCCACTGTTCCTTGCAGAACTCTTCTAGGTAAAAAAAACCCTTTTGCATGCATTACATGCTTGAGATTACCCCGCAGGTTTTCAATAATACTCAAGTTTGGGTACTGGGTAGCCATTCCAGGACCTTTATTTTTCTTTCCTGTAAGTATTTCATGGTTGATTTAAAGGTATGTTTTAGAACATCATCTTGCTGAAATAGCCAACCTCTTTTCAGTTTCAGTTTCTTCACTGACTGTAGGACATTAACTGCTAGGATGTGTTGAGACTTAATGAAATCCATTCTTCCTTCCTTCCACAATATTACCTGTACCATTGGCTGCCCCACAGCCCCAAACTGTAATAGAGCCCCCTTGTGCTTAACAGGTGGCAAGCTTTCTTTCTTTTCTTTTTTTTCCCCAAATGTTTCACCCTTTTTTCCTCCAAATATATCTTGTAAGGTTGTGACCAAATTGTTCAGTTTTTGTTTCATCAGTACAAAATGCTGTTCCAAAATGTTTCATGGGTTTTCTTTTGCATATTTTAAGCCATGAGTTTGAGATGAGACTAGAGAGATCCTTTTTTTTGACAACTCTGTCATGAAGATTATTGTTTTATAAACAACACTGTACTATTGACCTGTGGACAGTTACTCCAGTGACAGCTTATTAAACTTATCAACTGGTCATTTGTGGTGATCTGTTATTTCTATTTTGCAGAGATTTTTCTCGGTCCTTGAAATCTTGCCTTAACAGTTCCATTTCTTAATAGTGTTTTTTACAGTTAAAACTGCTAGCTGGAAGTGTTTATAGATTTTTTAGTCTTCCTGTTTTTTTTTAAGTGTGAATTATCTTCATCTATGAATGTTCAGATAGTTGTTTGGAGGAAGAGCACATGATTGTTGATTGGAGAGAGAAGGATCACTATCAGAGATGTTAGAAGGGTCAGCAAATCTGTTCACTTGAGGAATTGTCTTGCCCTGGCTGGTTGTAAGCCAAACACCTTTTTGGGCCTAACAACTTTGCAGTAAAAAATAAAATACCAGTGAATTGACTGGAAGAATATCCAAACTTCTGCACCTTTCATATTCACTGTTTTCTTATTTTACTATATTTGAATAGTAAGTATGAACTCAAATCTGCGCAAAGATGTCATGTTTAACTTTGTACAACAAAGAAGTGTCAGTTTCTGTGTATTGATTGAAATAAACATTTTGACTAAGTTCTGTATAAGTTGGCTGGTGTGGATGTTCCGGGCTGTGTGGCCGTGTTCTGGAAGTTTTGTTTCCTCTTTTATCCTGGTATGGATGCTGCGTTTTGTGGTCCCAATGCATACTTGCCCGCAACTG